GATCCATTGCATTTACAATATCTTGCTCCCTCTTTTGCAAAGCAATGCATAAGTCATTTATGTACCCAAATATTTCATTCTTCAAGTGGAGGAGGAAAACAAACTCAAATGATTGAAATACTTTCAACATAGTTTGAGCTCCTAAAACATCGACCCCTTTATTTTTATTCCCGATCTTCCAGAGGACTTTCTTGATAAAAGGATACAAAGCCATAACATGCATTACTGTCCTATAGTGAGATCCCCAACATGTATCACCTGGCCTTACTAAGCCCATCTCTTGATTCAAACCTTGTCCTGTTTCAATTTCACCCAATTTCAATGCTTCAATCATATACTCAGCTTGAGCTATGCGAAGCATACGGATCTTCTTACAAGACATGCCAAGAGTATTCAACAAATATGCAAGTTGTCCAAAGAACCACTGACAATCAATGTTCTCCTTAGCAACAGCTACTAGTGTTAGTTGAAGTTGATGAGCAAAGCAATGAACATACTATGCACTAGGAGACTCTTCCATGATGAGTTTCTTTAAGCCATTAGCATGACCCTTCATATTACTAGCTACATCATAGCCTTGACCACGTACCTTGGATAATGGCAATTGATATTTAAGAAGCAAGGACTGAATTGCTTGTTTGAGAGTCAATGAAGTAGTATCTTCAACATGCACAAGACCAAGAAACCGCTCAGCTGGCTGCCCTCTTTTATTGACAAAACACAAACAAAGTGCCAATTGTTCTTGTAGGTAGGAATCACTAGATTCATCAGCAAGAATTGCAAAACGCTCATCACCAAGTTCCTCCATGATCAATTTGGTTGTTTCTTGAGCACAACATGCAATGAGTTGTTTTTGAATCTTGTGATCCACCATCTGACAATTTTGTGGAGCATTTTCTAGAACCACCTTATAACTTCCTCATAGTTTCCTATGAGCCATGATATAAGTTCCCAAAAATTGCCTTTATTCAGTGAATCCAAAGACTCATCATGACCACGAAAAGCTAACCCCTGATGCAAAAGATATCTTGCAGCTTGGAGTGACCATTTCAAATTTGCCAGATATTGAGCCTTGAATTCTGTTGTGTATGAGGCAATAGACTCACGAACTGATGCTTTAGGTTTCATGAACAAATTATATTTCTCTTGAGCTTCTGAATGAGCACTATTGACAGCATCAGCATGCCTACGAATTCTAGATTTCATGTGCCAATTTCTAAACCCTTCATCTATAAACTTATCTCCATCAGCAAATTTGTTGCTATCTTTGAACAAGTAGCAAACAAAGCAATATGCAGCATCCTTCTCCACACTATACTCCAACCACTTGAATTCACTAAACCATTTATGATTGAATCGACGCATACCTCCACACTCATGTTGCGGAAAATCATTTTGCTTCATTTTGGGTCGACATGGCCCCAATACAATGTATGCCCTTCTAACTGAATCTTGATCATTCACATCATAGCTTGAGATAGGAATCCTCAATCTAGGATCATGCTCAGTTTGATACATGTCATCATTGTCTTCGTCACTAGAATCTGGTTCATTTAGGAATATAGCTTCATCATCTTCTATTACTGTAGGCTCAGCCTCAGGTGGAATTGTGCTTGTTCCACTGCTATTCTGCCCTTGAAAAACAACCAATTGAATACAACTTTGATCAGTAGATGGAATAACTCTCTCTTGCTCTTGATCTACCTAACCTTGTGACTGCTTCTCCTTTGCAGCAGCCCGCTGAAAGAAACTTCTTAGGTCTGTGGTATTACTCTTTTTTCTCTTCAAACTTGAGACCTAAAATTAAACCAAGAGACTAGACTAAATAATTTGGGGACAAATTGGCGAATTGCTACCTCTGAAACTTTGTGAAGAGTGAAACTGAATACAGATCGACGATCGCTGCCTGGTGCCTGGTGCCGGCCTGCTTGCTGCCTGATGCCATAGTGCGAAGACGCCAAGGGTTTCTTTCACCAGACGCAGCGAAGCCGTGAACCGAGTCGATCGATTTTCTCCGTGCGACGATTGCAGCAGCAGCGGAACATGCAACGACTTGGGACTTGGGAGCGCCTAACGTGCATCCTTGGGCCGAGAAAATGGGCCGCGGGGCAGCACTGGGCCTTGGATGGGAAGGGAAAAGGAGTAGGAATTGGGCTGAATTGTTTGTATAGGTATGCAGTTCTCTGTATTTTTCTTTTTTCATATACAGACTTGGATATACACTATATATGAAATTTCTTGCCAAAAAATTTAGGTATTCAACTGAATACCATTGAATACAGGTGGGCCCACCCCTGGACCTCGATCTCCTCTTCGGATCTCCTCGTTCTCCTCCTAGCGGCCCTCCCCTTTGAGGCTTCCTTTCCCCAAATGGCGTTGGTATCTTGGTGGGCGTTGGTTGGAGCTTAGATGCGCTCTTAGGCGATGCTACTCACGGCTGCCGCCTATTGGCTCCGACTCAATACTTTGCAGCTTCCTGGCTGTCGTCTGTCGGATCCCACTCAATACCTTATAGTTACAGCTGCATGTGGTGTGGAGCTCTTCGGAGTATGTCTTTGGTGGTGGCACAAGTTACGAAGTTACGGTTGCAGTCGCTTCGGTTAGTAGGCGGACTTGGTAGCTGATCCATGTTGTGTTTGTTGTTGTTTTGTGTTAAGTGTTGTAATTCCTATCTCTCTTTGTCATGTACTTTTCGGAACTTGTATCCACGCCCTTTCACCTCCCAAAGATCTGTTGAATAAAAATTCAGGTGGGAGGATCCCCCCCCCCCCCACACACACACACACACACCACCACCACCGCGCGCACACACACAAAAAAACAAATCTGGCTCGTGGGGTGCCGAACTGTCGCGTTTCGTTGGCCGGAGGAGCTCCAGTGGCTGGCCTTCGATCAAGAGAGTGAGCGTATCTATGTGTGCGCGAGCGGCCAACCAAACAAACGCTACGTGTGGCCAGCTCTGCTCAACCAGACGTCCAAACAAGTTGCACGTGTACCGTAGCGTGGACAATAGTAGCCTGCATTCTTATATGCGATCCGGTTGTGTTGGTATCCAAACCAAACACGTGTATAGATCCGCCCCTCAAGACAGCTGACTGATTGACCTGAACCTTGGTAAACTCCTCATCCTTGAATCCAAGTTCTATTTTAACGTTGAACTGTTTCCGATCTAAAAGTTCTATATATGATTAAATTGATTAGGTCAATTTTTATAGAGACATCAAAATAAGAGGCGAGGGCAAACCAAACGATCATTATGAACTAGTTTTTGTTATCTATTAGTATTAGATCTGGTGTGGAGAATATACAGACCTTGATAATTGACAGTGACCGCCATTGCACAAACCGTCTCGTTTTCTCGGCTATCTGCCATGTCAGCTTTCTTTACTTTGATTTCTTTCATCAATTTTTCCTACCACACGCAGGCCAAGCTTTATAACTATATGAGGCCCGTAAGGAAGTCTGGCCCACTTATTGCTCATTCTCTTGTTACGATGAGCCTTCTAATAAGCCCAAGATCTGTGACAATAATACATGCCAAGAGATGCCAAAAATGTTGTTCAAAAAGCCCACGTAATGATTAAAGTCCATTCCGGCTTGGACATCGTCATGCACAAAATTCAACCTCGAACTCCAATCCATTTCATGCTCTAACTGCTAGCGTCGCACCCTTTCCCATCATAAAAGAAAAAAAAGAATGTCGCACCCTTTGTGTAGAATTCCAGCACATCTTCTACAAGATTTGGGCTTATGCATCTTCTGTCGTTTGACATTAACGCTATAGGAGATGAATGGCTCACCAAGATGGTGGCAGGAGTATGTTTTTAATTATTTTATTTTAAAAAAAAATCGACATTTGAAATAATTATTAGAACATTTTGATATATTGTTTCATCATTTTCGATAAACGCCATACTGGTTTCTCTATAAAGTTAAAATTAGGTTTTCACATATTCTTGTAACAAGTTTTAAAAAGGAAAAATGAAAAACACCACCCCACAAGCTTGGGTGGGTTTCAAAAACCACCAAACAAATTTATTGTTCTAAAGTTTAGCATAATCATTTTGACAAACATAGCAATGCTCTATTTGGTAGGGCTATGGCTCCTTCACAAATAGCTCCATTCAGAGGGGTTATAGCTCCTCCACAGATGACTCTGCACTAGCTTCTCTTGTGGAATAGTTTTTTTTGGTGGAGCTAAAGCCATTTAGAAATATGTTTGGAAAAATGGCTCTAGTAGTGGGTTTTTTTTTTTGGTCCGGCTTCCACTACTATAGAACAAGCTATCCCCGTGAACTATCACTGTCAGTTGCTTTGAAACTAGAAGCGACAATATACCACTGCTGCTTGTTCTCACAAATTGGTAGTTATAGGTACTCGGAGTTCGGACGGGCCTAGCCCATACGTGACCTAGGTGGAAAATAATTAAGAAACATTTAATTAATTAGATGAGCTGCTTTGAGATCCGTGTAAGTTTTAGGAGTCCCAGAGCAGTTCTCTAATAATAAATAGAGAAACCATATGTGACTATGTCCTTGTAATAATTTGTAAATGATGGGATCAGATGTGTTTGAATTCTATCATCTAAAAGTAAAAAGATATTTGAACAATGTTGTTATCAAACATATTTTCTCTAAATAATCATGATCTTATTGTGGTAAAAATAAATAAATAAATATACGAAACACGTATTTATATTGAATTTTCACAGGATACAGAATGTACCATAACATACATTTTTAATTACACTTGAAGAATGAACTAGGAGTAAATCAACATGTACAAATAATGAATACAACAAATATATATTTCTCTTCCACCAAATGAAAAAAAAAAAACATAAACGATATATACTAAATAAAAAAATATTTGAAGAAACCACTCTACTTAAAATCTGTGCAGCAAATAATTAAATCAACTACCAATCTAGGAAGATTAGTTATTTTGCTCGATTGTCTTGCGTGCGAACCGCAGTCATGGCTCACGCCCTTGTTTCCTTATTAGCACTTGGGCATGTTAGGTGGACGTGGCATCATTTGAGACTTTGAGGTCTTGCCATTTTTCACAATGAACACAGTGTCCATACCCCACACCGTGTGACGATCGAAGTGACAGTGCATAAACCACACCCTAATAATAAACAAGGAAAAACAGCACAACATAAGAAAAATTTTCATGTAACAACATATATGTACTATATAGTGTAGTATTGTAGTTCGTTGTTGCCCGAATTTATATATAGCAAAATACTCACTAGGATTTGCCGCACGGAAGCGCATTGCTGCCCAGCCGCCTGCGGGCACGGAGACGGTGTTCTGGTACGGCGGGTCGACCATGTTGTACGTGATTGGGTCCTTGTCCTTATCGAAGTTACCAAACCCTCGGCCCACCACGTAGAAGCTGAAGCCGTGCAGGTGCATGGGGTGGCTCTCGGCGCCGAGGATGGCCGTGTCCTGGAACACCACCTCCACCACGGTGCCGTACTCCACCATCTTCACCTTGGTGCCCCGCTTTGTGAGCTGGAGCTCCTTCGACGGGTTGGGGGCGGTGAAGTTGAAGAAGAAGGGTGGCCTGTCGGGGAAGTCCGGCTCGTACACGCCGCTGATGGAGTCGTAGTAGGCGTCGAGGATGTCGACGGTCGGCGGCACGAAGCTGACGTTGTTCAGGCTCGCCGCGAGGCGGTCGCCTCTGGGGCCGGCGCACGTCTTGTTAGGCCCGCAGGGGAGCGTGTTGACGGAGATCGTCACGAGCATGTGCTTGTTGACCTCCATTGGCACGTTGATCGGGTGCTCCTTGGTGACCAGAGATCGGAGCTGCGCCGTATACGCTTGCCGCGGCGGTGTTGTTGATGGCCGGCAGGTCAGGGGAGTCTGGTGGCCCCGCAGAGGGTGGCGCTGGCGCGTCCGCGTACTCCAGAATGGCCGTGGTGTTTTTAGCGTTGACCAGGGGTCCTTTGTTGGTGAAGAACGGCCTCGCGGCCATGTAGTAGCGGTTGTTGTCGCCTGAGCCTTTGGTGGTGCGGTTGGCCTCGAGGAGCACGTTCATGGTCTGTCCGGAGGAGATCATGATGTGGTCGACGGTGAACGGCTTGAGGTAATGGCCGTCGGTGCCAACCACCGTGAGGTGGTGCCCGGCGACAGTGAAGAACATGTCGTTGGTGAGCCCCGCGTTGATTATCCGGAGCAGGTACGTCTTGCCATGCTCCACGAGCATCCTGAAGGTGTCATTCTTAGAGCACGGGGCGAAGCCGCCAGGCTGGCCGTTGATGGTGTTGGCGTCAGAGATGTTGACGTCGCCGCCGGTCTGCTGGGCCTCCATGAGAACTTGCTCCACGTCTGCGTTCCACCACTCGCCGAGGATGATGGGCACCTGTGCGGCCTGGGGTAGGGGTAGGCGGAGCCGCGCTTGGGGTGGATGACGATGGCGCCGTGCACGGTGGCGCGGTCGAAGTCGCTGTGCGTGTGCCACCACAGCGTGCCCTCCTCCTCGGTGAAGTTGATGCGCTAGGTGAAATTGGCGCCGGGCTGGATGGGGCACTGCGTGATGTACTCCGGGCCGTCGGACCACGGGTTCCGCGGCTGGTCCACGCCATGCCAGTGGAGGGTGATGTTCTTGTTGCCCTGGTTGTACACGTTGACGACGACGACATCGCCCTTGCGCGCGTAGATGGTCGGCCCGGGGAACTGCCCGTTCACGGCCAGGATGGTCTTCTCGTGGCAGAGCCGGGTGACCTTCGTCTCCTTTATCTGCAAAAGAGTTTAGCATACGCACGTACGCCGGCGTGTTACATTATTTTATTATAGTCGTTTGTACCGACGTCTTCTTAATAATCCAGCGTGCATGCAAATCCTTCTCGCTCCGTTCCAAATTATAAGTTGCTTTAACTTTTTTTTTATTCATTCATTTTGTTATATGCATCTAGATTCATAGCAAAATGAATGTACTACAAAAATCAAAACGACTTGTAATTTGGAATGGAGGATCGAGTGCATACTGTTCAAACAACTGCTACTGCCTGCGTCTCTGAATGAAATCAAATTGGTAAATATAAGTTGAAATGAGATGTATGGATCAACTTACAACGAAGTCGTAGTGAGTATTCCTGGAGGCCTGGGCCGGGCTAGCTGCAACTCCAAAGGCTAACAGTACCACGCCTAGCAGTAACCAGAGCCCTGCTGCAGCCGGTATCTTAGCTACACCACCCATCGTCGGACGTTGCCCAAGGGGCATGATGCAGCAGAGCTGCTAGCTCACCGGCCTATAGCTCTCTGATCTTGTGTGTGTATGTATGATGATGTGTGTGTGCTCTGTTAGTTTGAGCAAATTAAATTGGAACGTGTATTTAGCAGCGAGCGAGAATGCAATGCAATGCACCTGCGCAAAGGCTAGCTAGCTACTGCAATGCGTGCTCTCCGTGCGTTGCTGCGATGCTCATCTGCAGCGGATACCGCGAGTATTTATAGAGCGAGAGAGCTGCCAATGCAACGACGAGGATCTTAGCAACTCGTCCACGTTGTGGCGTTGTTATTTTCATGCGCCGTCGACCAATGCACGTACGGTGTGGGTGCAGAAGCCGCGTACCCTGAAATTAAACGCCCTCCTCCGATCCGTTAGCGTGAGTTGATTGGCGTACGTACACGTGCATGCAGTGACGGATCTAGAAAATACATTTAGGGGGCTGGGACAAAGAGAGCTATTTCCCAATGGGCTGGAAACTAGCTTCTCTACACTCTACTATGGGCCGCTGAAACACATATGCTGGCCCAGGATGGCAGCCCAACTCGAAACTCATCTTCAACCTCCGTCGAGAGCACTCCAGCACCTCCTTCCCTATTGTTAATGGCTGAAAAATTCAAAGGGAGAGGGGCTCCAATGGCGCGGCCAGGGTAGAGGGGCGGGGCTTGAGCCCCGGCAGCCCCCCCTGACAGATCCGCCCCTGCGTGCATGGCCTAGCTACCTACTGTCTCTCGCCGCGGTGGCGCGAGAGCGTGTGACGACTGACGACGAAGAAGACGACGATGACGTCCGAGCTAGTAGTAGGCTTGAATCTTTTCTTCACCGGGAACTGCCACGACGGCGATCGGCATTTGCAGTAGGTTGCTAGCTTAATTAAATTAGATTAATTAAGCCAGCATGCATGCACAAATCGCAGTGACCTGGAAGCTGGTGATGATAAGGCTAGAACGAGTCAAGGTCAAGGAACTCAACGCGCGCGCGCCATGCAAGTTTTCACTTTTCCACGAATGGCAGGCTGGCAGCATGCATGCATGCATGGAGCGAGGGTCCACTTCATTCCAGCAGCTAGCTTCCAAGAGATGCTGGCGGCTTACAGCGAATGAATGCAGAAATCGTGCTCGTTTACCCTTTTTGGGTGCTGTAGCAGTAGTTAGGGTCAGAGCGCGTCTCTGATAATTGCGCCGTTGTGCCCAGGCTGTGAGGGCTCCCAGCCACATAAATCTCTCTGTTCAAAAAAAAATTATAGGATTCGTACAGGTTAAGTAGCTTAAGTTTGATTAAGTTTATAACAAATAGTATTAATATTTATGTCTAAATAAATTTATTATGAAAATATATTCTATAAATAATCTAATAATATTAATTTTGCATCAGGAATGTTAGAATTTTTTTATATAATTTTAGTGAAAGTTTAAACTGATTGCCTTCTAAGAAAGCGAGAATTGCATTTTTTTTATGGACGGAGGGAGTAGCTAGTTTAGATTATTTGGCACACCTAATAATATGTATATATTGAAGATCGAGGTGATCAATTTGACTACCAATATATCATCAATTTGGCACACCTTGCATTTTCAATCGGCCCGTCAACTTCGAACCAGCCGTGGTGCCTAGTACTCCGTATATAATATGCACGCACACGCGCACGCGCACGCGCATCAACACGTGTGGTAGAAATAGGACTACAAGAATGCATGGGGGATTAAACTTTTGCATGTGGGAACTAGATAGAATAGAAACAAAACAAAAAGGCGCATCATCGTGTATTTAAGCTGATCCGGCCTGTTTCTTCGGTGAGTACTGTACGTCTGATGAGACACTAACACCAACAGCAAGAATGTCCTCTTGCCGGTCCAGATCTGATCGAGCGACCGGCGTTCGTCCGATCCGTTGTTCGTCCCATTCATCCGAATTGATGTCTCACAAACAGCTATTTGAACTAAGCTGACACAAGACAAAAGCAGACCAATTTCCAGATACCGGCGTTGACGTTTTTTTTAGAGAGAGAGTGTGTGTATATATATATATATATATATATATACTGTTTTGCTATAATTCACCTGGGTGCATCCTGTATATAGAATGCACCTAGGCCGGCGGGCGCAACTTGGAGCAACCAACGAATACATGTATGCATGCATGGAATTTTTTGTTGATTTAAATCTTTGAAACAAATTTTCTCCTAAACCGTAACCCCGATTGATAAACCGTTTGTTGCATCCGACTCAAAAAAATATTCTGAGCAAAACTAAATCGAATATGGATATATTTTTTATCCTTTAAGCGAGCTGCACGTCAATGTACTACCGATTGCAACTCTGTCTACCACCTAGTTGCAACTAGTTATAACACTGTGTATTATATGCATCTGGTCACTATAATCACGTCAAGTTGCAATTCTGAGTTGCAATCATATCTGAGTAGCAACTGTGTTGCAATTGAGTAGTAACTAGTTGCAATCAGTAGTAATTGGTTTGCAATCGGGTAGTAACTTTGTTGCAACCAGTAGTAATTGTGTAGTAACGAGTTGCAACCGATTGCTAAATACGCTCTGACCAAGTTGCAATTGTGTTGTAGAAGTGCTTGCAACTCATAGTACAACATATTGCAATTACGTATTTGAAAAAAAAACTTCATCAAATATGACCTTCATTGCAACCAGTGCTAAATACGTTACAGCCAAGTTGCAATTGTGTTGTACAAGTGCTTGCAACTCATAGTACAACATATTGCAATTACGTATTTGAAAAAAAACTTCATCAAATATGACCTTCGTTGCAACCCGATGCTAAATACGCTCTGACCAAGTTGCAATTGTGTTGTAGAAGTACTTGCAACTCATAGTACAACATATTGCAATTACGTATTTGAAAAAAAACTTCATCAAATATGCCTTCATTGCAACCGATTGCTAAATACGCTATAGCCAAGTTGCAATTGTGTTGTAGAAGTGCTTGCAACTCATAGTACAACATATTGCAATTACGTATTTGAAAAAAAAACTTCATCAAATATAGACTTCATGGATCTCATTTTGTTAAGCATATTTTTTTCAACAACCTACTTCAAACAGAACTAAAATCGGATATATGGTTTAGAAGATATCACATTTTTTCGTTTAGAATCAAAAAAAGATTCCCTGCATGCAGGAGCGAGCTATTTGGTGGTTGTTTGCATGCATGAGCATGGGCGCTCGTCGCGCTCATTCTCCGGCCTCGCATGGCTGGGTGCATTTGCTATACAAAATGCACCCAGGTGCATTTTAGCCTATATATATATATAAGGTTATTGTGCAGCTGGTCATAGAATAACTTATTCTATAAGCACCTTGATTTACGACAATGTTTATACCTATTTACGATAACATGAATATGTATTTACGATACTCGTGTTATTATAACTCATGATGATATTTACTATAATGTTATAGTAAATCACTTAGTAAGGAGTTACTATAATATCGTAAATTAGCATAGTAATTATCGTAACACAAAGTGGCCACAGAATAAGTTATTCTATGGCCAAATGAAAATGAGTTATATATATATATATATATATATATATATATATATATATATATATATATATATATATATATATACTCCCCCGCGTTCCCTAAATTTGATATGATCTTAAGTCAAATATTTTAAACTTTGTTGACTACAAATCATTCTTTTTAGGTTGAGCTCAAAATATAGTTTCATAAAAGTTGTTTTTTAAGATTCTTTGGATGTCCGCAATGACTTCCTTTAGGGACCAGAGAAGATTATGTACGCTGTTTTTTTTTTACTTTAACTAAGGAAATTCGTGTGGGCACAGGCTTTTCAACTGGTGCATACAGGGCAAGGAATGGCTGGCACGTGTCATGAATTACGAAAGATCGACGGGCCAATAGGCAGTAGCCGAACAAAGTGGTCATTCGACCTTTTACATTTTCAAACCTTTGGCTACAATTAGGTAGATTCACAGTTGGTTTGTCCACCACTGATCGGCAGTGAAAACCTATCTATTATTGTCAATTTATGGTTACAATCAGTAGTGATTCGTTGTTTTGCACAAAAAATATTTTTTTTCCATATGAAATCGGATTAAGACAAACTTTATTCCAAAATTATAAAGTTGAAAAAGATCTAAAACTTTTTAGTTCACAACTTTTAAATTTGATATGGTTTATATGTTCAAATAGTCAATATAAGTTATCGGATCATATTTGAGATGGTTGACAATGTCTGATGGAGACACATTCAACATAAAGTTGTAGTATACGATGAGATCTACAACTTTGTAGTTAAAACTTTCTTTTTTTCAATATATAGTTAATCCGGCAGTGATAGGCAAGCCCATTGAAAGATCCTAATGGCTAGATGGTGGTGAATTACCTATTAAAATTTTCTACAACAACACTTAACAAAGATGTTAGATAATTAAATGGCGAAACAAGTGTTGCGCTAGTACTAAAAATGCAAGCCACCTACCACAATTCTAGTGACTACAATCTCTAAGCACTCAAAGGCTAAGTCACTACACTAGGTTAGTGTGCTCTCAAAGGCTAATTAAAGAGTCACACCAACCACTAGACCCGACACAAGCTTGTTCTCAAAACTAATTACACTAAAAAGCGAAGCAACACTAGAAATATAAATGCAAGTTAGGGGATGTGATGATTATACCACCACATCGAGGATAGATTCAATCACAATATGATGGAGCCAATCAATCACAATCAATCAATGAATACCAAGAAAACCTCGGACAAGGTGACACAAGATTTTTTACCGAGATTCACTTGCTTGCTAGCAAGCTAGTCCTCGTTGTGGCGATTCACTCATTTGGAGGTTCACGCGCTAATTGGCATCACACGCCAAACCCGCAACCGAGTGCCGCACAACCAAAACAAGATGAGGATCACATAAGGCACGAGTAATCCACTAGAGTTGTCTTTGGTGGTCCGACGAGGAAGGCACAAGAAC